AAAACGAGACAGCGAGGGAGGCTCAGCAGGGAGAACGAATGCAGTGTCCCTAAGGTAGTGCGACGGATTCTCCACTCCGTGCTATTCCACCGCCATTTCCATAACAGCAATCAAACTCGTAACTCGAGCGCCATTCATTTGTCGCCGTCCAGATATCGATTGAATGCAAAAAGAAGTTGCCTCGGAAGCTTTTTATCAACAGAGGCACTTGTGGTTATTTGGACTATGCTTATAGTATAGCAACGGGGACGTTGAAGGCCCGTAAACGAATATGAGTCGTATACGACTCTGAAGAGTCATTTGTCCGTTTGGAGAGATACGTTGGCCATCGTATGTTGCATGCGACAGTAGCGTTATCTGTGCTGTGCTCTAGTCAAACAACGATAAGGGCGCAACAGGTGTGCGATTTCTCTGAGCTTAGTCCTCACAAGTTCCGAATTCATGTGGAAAACGACGGCACCGTCTCAGCCTACAAAACGCCATTTGTTAGAGCAACGACCCACTTAAGGTCACGCTCGATATCACGGTCATATATGTAATACAACTTATCGACATTCGATAGTTTATCAGTTAGGTTTATCAGGTGATGACAGTTCATTGAGGCATATGATTCGGTGTCCACGTATAATATAAGAACATCGGCCTGCGAGCGTGTGAAACCAGCCGTACCTGCAGGACCGAGGCGGCATCGAGCTTCATCGCTGCCTCCAGCGTGACAGGTCGAGCCGCGTCGGAACGCGACAGCGAGCACCGAGCGCAGAGCACCACACCGGGAACACGGGAACACGGCAGCGCACCACCCCTCTACGAGCACCGAGCCAGCACTGCCGCCGGTGCCGCCCTCCGCCCGCCGGCCGCAGGGCAACCCATAGCGGCCCGAGGGCCTCCAGCCGCCCCGCGGCACGACCCGCCGCGCGGAGCGACAGCCGGCGCCGCCGCCAGGGTCCGCCACCGGCGCGGCCCGCCAGCACGCCTCTCGGCACTCTGTTTATGATTTTTTGTTCGTCCAATAGTTCTGATTAATATCGGATAAACATAGGGCGGCTCGCCGGGCGCGCAGCTCGTCACATGACGGCCAGCTGACGGCGGCGCCAGCTGACGGCCGCGTCAGCTGATGGGCCACGTCAGCGGCCCTCGGCAGGGCCGGCGCCGTCAGGGGGCGCCGAGAGGAGGCCGCGAGGGAGGCCTGGAGACGCCGCGGTCACCAGCAGAGGGCAGCACGGCTCCGGTGAAACGTCATCTGGGAGCTCCGGTGGCGGCCGGCTCCAGATGATGGTGAAACGAAACACCCACGAGAAGCCTGAAGTCGACCGCCAGCACGAGGCAAGCCAGCGTGGCCGAGTATAAGCTTCGATATCGTCATACCAAGAAGCATTAACCCGCGCCCTGCTGGGGGGGGGGGGGTGTTTGAACACCCCCCCTTGTGGTTTTTCGCGAATATCTCAAAAACGGCGGCGCGGAGCGCCGCCGTTTTTGGTACACCTTATCATACATCAATTCTACACATGTTGTGAAAATTTCAGACCAAGGTCATTCAAGGTCAGGTCACCAAGTCACTTGAAGTGACCTCACCTCATAAAAAGTTTCAATGTCTGTCATAGCTACACCGAGTGACCGATCGCTTTGAAACTTTCAGCGATTGCTAAGTGCAATAACATGTATAAAATGTATATCTCAGAATTTTGATATCGATGACCTAAGGTCAGGTCAATTTTGCGACCTCCCCATTATAAGTCAATGGGAGAAAATTGAAATGCGCCTCTTTTGGATAAAAGACATTATAAACACTCCCAAACACCGAATTACAAGTGGTTTAGACACACTGAACATGAAAATGGTGTCCGTGACCCTTGTTTATGCCCTGAGGTCATCTTAGGTCACGAATGGTATCTAACAGTTTTTCGCAAATAACTTTTGATAGAGGCATGCTAGAGCGATGAGAACGCCTTAGATGTGTTCATCTCGACGATACGAATCGACTGATATGCAACATGACCCTTTCCGGTCAGGTCATGACCTTGACCTGAGGTCAAATTTTCAAGTTGACCTTTCAAGGTCAACTTATAGTTCATTCGATGCGTCTTGACGAGAGAAACACAATGCCGGTAAGAGTAAGCTCGTACAAGGCTTGGGTCAAAAGTTATTGCAGAAAAACTGTTTCCGAAAAAATCGGCTATTTTTGCAGTTTTTGCCCCCTGCAGGCAAAACCGTTGACGTTAGGTTAAATCTGAGAGAATTACTCAGAAAGGGCTTTAATAGGGCTATCGAATGCGCTTTTCCGCGGCGCTGTAGCTCTATTGGTTCTCGAGTTATGCGTTAGCTTCTTGGAAATTTTCGACATTCGACCTGGAAATCGGCGAAATTTTGCCTTCAATGACCTCTGGTGACCTGACCTTTGACCTGACCAAAAAATTGACCGAAGTGATTTCGTCATTATTTTTAACGCTCTCTCGAACGCCGCCTTCCGCGTATCGCTACGTGGCCCAGGAGCCGAGTTACAAGGGGGGGGGGGGTGTTCAAACACCCCCCCCCCCCCCCAGCAGGGCGTGGAAATCCAGGACCCCCAGCCGGGCGCGGGTTAAAGAAACGAGCGCTCAGCACAAACATGAAAGAAGACCGCAGAAACCATCAATTCAAAATGTCCAGGAAATTGAAGACACCGACGGAGCACTAAACGACCTGAACTACTCGTTTTAGGCGTGAAAGAAGGCCGTAACTCAGGGTACCCCATCGACATCTAATCGTCCAGAGCCGCTACAGGCAACCACTCATAGTCCATCGTACCCCAGGCGGGTCGATGGCCCACACACCGCCGACAGCACAGAGAACCATCAGTGCAAGGATGGTCAATAGCGGCGGTGGGCGGCGGTATCCACATGCGAGGCACCGGCGCCGCCGCTCCTGAACCCATACAATGCACACGATCGGTATAAGACAGCACAGGCGCTGCGGCGACGGTGTTAGGTTGGGGGGGGGGGCACCGGAGGGAGGAGAGGGGCACCGCACACACAAGCGCTTCGCAAATAGTAGACGCTCGATCGTAGCTGAGTACTTAGCGGACGAACGGAGCAGAAGTGCGAACCTGCTAAAACGCGAGGTCTGGCTGGCGAAAAGAAACTGAGGACAGCTGCCAGGTCAATGTTGTATGACGTCAAAGGTCAGCTGACGAAGATGAAGGATGCGATTCCTCAGTGACTCACTAGAGACACGTGATGAACGTCTCGATGTTGAAGTACGGCGTGGGCGACAGACAGACGTGTCAGAACAGAATCGTCACAAAAACTAACTAAGGGCTACTCGAACTCGAATCACTCTGAATAATCTGATGACGTGATGACGTCCTAGACACCCAAGGACGCCTGATGACGCACTGGGACTCACGGAGCGACTTTACCTGGACGGCTGGGTGCGTACCGGTCCCCTGCTGCCCTGCGGACTGGGAGCGCTGCAATGGCGGGGCTCGGGACAACGCTGTCGAGCCAGCGGATGGCAGACTGTCGGACGGCATGTCATGCCGCACCTGTGCCGGGCCCGCGCTCCGGGCCACAGGTGCGCTGTCGCCCACAGCGGCCGACGGTCTTATCTGCCGCGTGGCACCGCCTCAGTGGCTGTCCGCCGGCGGACGGGCGGCGCTGCCACCAGCCGAGGAGCGCGCACTTGTGGCGTCCGCCGTCACCCCGCGCCGCAGGCATGACATAGACGCAGTCCAAGCCACAGCCACAGCCACAGTCACAGCCACAGCCACAGCCACAGCCGTCCCAGCCAAAGCCACTGCCGTACTGACCCAGCCACCCGCCACAACCGCAGCCACAGAAGGCCAGCTGTTAGAACAGCTCACTTTTAGAAGTTAGAATAGCTGTTGCATACTAGCTAATAGGTAACCATCGACCCTATTATAGCCAACTCAATGAAATCGATTATATAATGTATGGAGGAGCCGAAATGAAAAGCGAAGAAGCCACAAACAGCACCACTAAATTACCTAATGCTTCTTCAGTTTGAAGTTTACGCAATAGCCGGTTCCCTAACGAATGCTGATTCAATTGCGTCCAAGGAAATCGTTTAGAATTAACTTTAAAGGCAATTGGGACTAGTTGCATTCGTCCGTTCTATTTGGCGAAACCGACCGGAGGAACATTCACGAAAGAATAACGATATAAGTGCAAACATATCCGTTTGTTTGTTACACACATGTGGTAATAGTAGATCCCTTCCCTTACAAACACCCACCGCATAACACGGCTCTGTCATAAGTGAAGCCATAATCGGCTGCTCCAATTGACAGCTGCGTCGGCGCAGGGGTGAAGTGAAGCCCCCTAAACACCCACGCTGTTGACAGCGACAACACGTTTAGATCATAATAGGGGAGGGGCGGTCGGCACTCCGGCCAAATTGACCGCTGTAACGTGGGAAGGGGCGAGATACCTAGGGAGCGATACCATAGAAGAAAGACGTTCAATTATATTGACATCTTATAGCGTCATGCAAACTCGATTATTACTCATCGGTTTTATTTAAAAAGAATAACGGAAAAACCAGTTGGTATCATTTTTGAATATTTTGAAATAATCACACCTTCAAATCTTATTTCGAGCATGAAAGTAAACTAAATTTGTATTATTCGTCATAATACACATTGCTACCCCAAGTTAAAATGGTTAATTAAGTACTAACTAAAACTAAAAGTAATTATTTGCATCGATAAAAATAGATTGAAGATTTGGGTGCAATTCAGGGTCAAATAACTTGACACACTGGTGCTCCAACTATTTTCATTAAATTTGGTGCCATTTATCCTGTCGCACGTCCATTGACCATCTAAGGAACCAAGACACGTAAAAATATTTAATTCCTTACAGTCACCTACCACCTCCCCTAGACGCTTGGTGACCCTCGTTTGTCCCCTACCGCCCCTGCTGATCGCCAGTGACCCCCGTTGACCCCTGAGAACCTTGTGACCTCTACTGACCCTATTGACCCGTGACCCCCGGGCGACTGACCTGCTGCACCTCTGCCACGGTGCTCCGGAAGAGCTCAATGTACCGCGAGCCGATGATCTCACGGTGCTTGCTGAGCGCCTTCGGAGCGTCGTCCTCGTTCTCGAACTGAACGAACGCGTCGCCGGTCGCCCTGCCGTCGGGCTTCTTGACGAACAGCACACCCTTTTCGGCGAACATCACCTGACAGCTTGACTCGCCGGCCTCGAAAAACTCCAGCTGAAGAAGGAGACAAGAAACACCGAGTCAGTTAAACACTTAATATACCTCTGTATCCCGGTCCACAGAGGTCTTTGGTTCAATGAGACGCTAAATGGAACACAGAAAACAACGCTAAGAGCCATATGAGAGACCTATCACTGTTCCGCGTTTTCTTCATGATTTCTATTGAGGTGGTGTGACACAATGCGATATCACACGATCAGCTCGAATGATCTAGTCATCTCACTTGCGGAGTCAAGAAGTGGCCATTATCAGGTTATCGTTCTACAATCATTTAGGTATGAGTACGCATTATTTCGTCTCCTAGAGGGATCGACAAGGGTTATCTGTCGTGGAGTTTGAGACGAATGACGTGTTACCATACTGTGGAGCGGCTACTCGAAAGATAGCTCACGAAGGCCGCTGTGGGGTAATGTCAGAGAGACACGCCACGCCGACCAAAAGCGCAGATACGCAGGAGAAGGAAGACAGCAAGCACGCCTGATTAGACTCTCCTATCGGGTTTTCGACAATTTGGTTATACGAATCCGGTGCAGCAACCTCTTCCTATCAACAACAAATTAAATCGTACATTTCTTTTTCAACTCAAGATAAACGTTTAACTTAGTTACTGTCTAGTTCGCTCAAGCCTTGATTAACTCGAATCTCTGATGACACCCTTGCGCGACTGGACGTTTTACATAAATATGACGTTCTTCTGAGAGCAACGCTCTGATTTTGTAACCCTGGGACGTAACAACGATAGTGAACCGCTGATAACGACCCTCGCTTTTTAGATGGCACAACATAGGCATTAACGGCCACTTGGGAGACAATGCTACAAAACCACGCGAAATTTCAGTTTTACAGTTGCGAAACACATGGGTTTTTGAGGATGATCACCAACGGCATTTTTCTTTGAAAAGTAATATCATTAAAGGGACCCTCCCACCTTCAAAATAGTTAATGAATTGGCATGAAAGTGATGTCCCTTGGTTCAGAAAGAGCGAAAACGAATATCTACCAAATTTCACCGAAAAATATTCACTGGTTTTCAAGATATTAGGCTTTTACTTTTGTTTACTTTTTGGGATCTCCCCTGTTACTAGCGACTTTATTTGGAAGCAATAATTTGGCAGCCCTTAAGTGCGGCAGACGTTGCGCGCAAAGCAGCGTATACCACCACGTGTAAACGATGGTTTTAGTCTAAGATTTAAAAATCGTTAGATCTCCGCTGACGTCACAAATTCTAAGGGGGCATTCCAATGCATTAGCCCCTTAGAATCCGAAAACTGCAAGTTTGAAATTCCATATCTTCGAATTAAAGCATTTTTCGATGTTGTGAGTGTCCAAACCGGTATTTGCAGGTCATGGCCACCAATTTGGCTATCTCAACTCAAAACTAATGTTAAGGTGGGAGGGTCCCTTTAAAGTGCATGCCTGAGTTAAGCGCGCATCCCTGAACGATCACCAGCACGGCAAAGTACGTCTCCCAGAGCGCCCGATAGCCACATGGCGTTTTCGCTGCCCGGTACGCCGCCCCTACCATCCCTCCAATCGCCTGCAGGCTGTCAGCGAATCCAAAGTCTGCCGATAGACTACCGGCCCTCGAGAAGTCTATCTTGTTTGCTGAGCTCCGATAGGAAAAAGAAACTTGGCATCGAACACGGCGATAGGCAGCGAATAGCGACATGAATATAAAAGCTATATTTGATAGATACATAGGTAAGTACCTACTTTTTAACAAAGATGGGACCAATATTCTATGGCGTTGTTTGTACAATGGAATAAGCCCGCATCATCAATATGAACATCTTTTAACACTTCAAGTCAAATAATTGTGAATAGTTTATCTTTTGCAAAACGCTCGTTTTTCTTGTTAATTCGTTTTGAATTCAAGTAACAAACAATATTGTAGTCAGACATGTGCATGAATCCGAGAAAATGGATCTGGGATCTGATCCCGCGGATCCTGATCTCGGATCCGTCGGGATCATAGATCCAGCTCTTTAATTTATCGAGAGATCCGTAGGGATCATAGATCCGAGTCTAGTATTTTTGCTTGAGATCCAGTGGGATCATAGATCCTCATTTATTTTTGTTCAACACAGAAATCCCAAAAGATCACTCGTTGCAACTCACAAACGTTCTTATTTAGTGCTTTTATGTGATAACACGTCATAATCCATAGTTTTATGGCACTTATTGACATAGAAACACTTGGAAACCTGGTTTCGAATGTTGTTCATCAGGTGGGATCCACTCAGATCATAGATCCATGCTTTTGGTTTATCGTCAGATCCTGTGAGGTCATAGATCCAGGATAAAATTTTCACGCCGGATTCGGTGGGATCATAGATCCAAACCTGTAATGTGCCTCGAGATCCACTGAGATTGCATAGATCCATCACTCGGATCCATGCACATGTCTGATTGTAGTGGTATAATATAGTATTACCAATGTCTGTGTCTAACTGACTTGCACTGACACCAAATCGTCCACTCTGCTGTTCAAAATCAGTGTGACGTACTCCACTCAACGATCCCGTCTAAAGGTCGGTTCACCAGTGATCCGCAGATAAAGGTCAGTTCACGCCGCTTCTTGTCAGCGCGGCTGCTGGCGTGGCCGCGCCGAGCGCCGTCCCTCTCACGCGCGAACCGGGCGCCTGCGGCGAGCTATGCGCCCGCGCGCTGACCAGTGACCGGGGGCCTGGCTCGGCCCGTCAAGGTCCGAGTTCGGTAAACATCGGGCCCTGCGCCGAGATAAGGCGACGGCGTGCAGTCAACCAATAAACAGCGCCGCCGCCGCCGCCGCCGCAGACTTACGGCTATTTAAACAGAGACCTCTCCTCCATGGTCGATGGTAAGTAGTAGTAGAATCGAGAATGAATTCAATATGCGTTGTCTAGGATCATCTTTTCAATTTTTTCCGTTTTCACGAGGTCGCCATTCTGGCTGCCTGCTTAGATATTCAACAACGCTTTTTTGCCTGGCGTTCATGACAAAACTAGCCGTCTCTGCTATATTGAAGGCAATATAAGACGTTTGCGAATTTAATATCATTCCACAAAGACAACGAATGAGGGCAATCATCTGACTTACCACTTGTTTCGCCGTGCAGTCATAGGGCAGCCCCCGCATTCGAACGATGACCTGACCACCGAGCTTCAGGAACTCCTGGGCCTCGGTATTTACACCTGGGAATAAAAGCACGACGTTAGTCACACCGGTCGATAGGTACCGAAATAATTGGAAACTCTCGACAACGAAATACCAAATGTGAGAACAATTAATTCTTTAAGAGTCGAGCAGCGTAGATGAACATGACAATGCTACTGGAACGAGCGACACATCACCTCAATGATTATTCGTGCAGATTAAACATGTTGCAGGGCTGCCATCAGACTTCTGTGGCCTTTTTGGAATTTGTCCCCCCAGAGACGGTCTGGTAAGACCCTTCCATCCTGTGTGGGCCGCTGACAGTGAGCAGCACGACTAAGATCAACAATTTGATCCCGTGATCGGCGAGCGTGGTCAGCGGTTTGCCGGCGTGTTCCAGCTCCGAGCCTGTCGACACCATCCCAACACCACGGCCGCCGCCTAATAGAAGGCCATGAAGATAAACATTTACATATTTGCAGAGGCGGGGAGGGGACGGGGAGAGGGTGAGGTCACTACTGGTCAGTGTCACTGGAGGACCTCAGTCCTGGCCGGAGACAGGCCGGGACAGGCCGAGGGAGGACTGGTGGCAGTGAGTTGTCCGGTCTGGAACCATCGGTCCGAACATCGCACTGACATGCGTCAATCGGTACAGCTTTGTACAGATCAGTAGAGAGCGCTTGATATTATAGATCAAATCTCGCCATACGGATATTAGAGGTCGCCAGACACTATCGATCTTATTGCCTTATCTTATGAAAACGGCATCGGATAAATAGAGCTACCTATGTGCAAACGAATAATGTGACAAAAGGTAAGCGACTATTGGTAGCTTTGCGTAGTAGTAAGATGTCAAACCTGTAATATATTCGTTAAAGGGACCCTCCCATCTTAACATTAGATTTGAGTTGAGATAGCCAAAATGGGGTCCCTGGCTCACAATTACCGGTTTCGGCACTCACAACATCGAGAAATGCCTTAACTCGGAAATATTGAATTTCAAAATTGCAGCATTTTGATTCAGAGGGGCTAATGCATAGGAATACCCCTCTGAATGTGTGACGTCAGTGCATATTTCTAACGATTTTTAAATGTTTGACTAAAACGTTTTGTAGCACGCGGTGGTATATGCTGCTTTGCGCGCAACATCTGCCGCGAACGCCGCACTTCCAAAATGAAGTCGCTAGGAACAGCGGAGATCCAAAAAAAGTAAACAAAAGTAAAAGTCTAATATCTTGAAAACCGGTGAATATTTTTCGGTGAAATTTGGTACACATTCGTTTTTGCTCTTTCTAAATCGAGCGACATCACTTTCATGCTAATTCATTAACTTTTTTGAAGGTGGGAGGGTCCCTTTAAGCATGAGAAACGTTTAGTCGTTTTTATGCTAAGCCAACATTGTCAATTTCGAGCTACGCGCAAGAGCGTGTTACCCATGCTCAAAACGAAACCCTCATATGGCAACAACACCAATAAATCACGCAATTCCACCCGTCAAATCAATCACACGGGTCGCACCCGCGACTGTAAAACACCATAAACCGACGAGTTCCCCTCCATTATCAGCCACCCCGACGGCTAGTTCTGGCCTTTACGGTCCGTGTGACTTGTATCGAACAAAACGAAAGGCCGACCGACAACATATCGAGGGAGGTGGGGACGGGCAGGAAGACAAGAAGCCAAGAAGACCAGAAGCGTTCTCTTACTCTGAGCCGTGCTTTATGAGAGCAGATGGTGATTGCATGGAAATGTGAGGACCGATACACAGTCAACCGATCTTTGGGAATCACCATGGACCCAGTCTTCTCTAGGACCACGTATATCTTGGTAGAATAACCGTCAGACCATCAGAGACCACCAGAGACCTTCGCAGACCATTAGAGATCGTCCGAGACAATAAGAGACGATCAGAGACCACCAGGACCGTAGCTGATCATAGACCGTACAGCGCACCGCCAGGGACCGTCGCGGCGGTCGGGGATAGCCAGGGACCGTCAGGGACCACCGGGGACTGCCGAGGACCGTAGGGCTACGTGGCGCTCCAGATGGCCACAGAGGGGCTGTTTTTATAGCAGGGGAGGGGCGGCCGGTCCTCGGGCCGGCCGGTCGACTGGGGCTGGGCTGGGCTGGGGCTGGGGCCGAATCTGGTGGTTGTGTGTGTGGGTGTGTGTGCGATCACGCGTCGACGCTAGGCCGCCGTCGGCTGACGCGCCCGCACCACGTGGGACGCTGACGGACGAGGGGAGAGCCGCAGTTAGGACGTGAGGTAGTCACGCGACCAGTGGGTGCTGAGACTGGAAAGCATTCAATAGCACATTCCAAGAGACCCCAACGAATGATCCTTCCCGCGGTACGGACTTCGTACTCTGACGCTCTGACAAGACCTGTGTGGCAACAGGCGACCCCTGTCCACCCCGATACCACGTGGCCTGGATAACTCCCCCACACCCGGAGACATGCAGCTGCACACGCGATACCACTCTCCGCGTGAACATTCTTCCGTGCCTCATGGACCTTGAACCCGGCGAAGCAATCTCCACGGTCACGGAGGGACCCTGGGGACCCTCGGGGCCCGCCGACGCGCTCCCTGTCGTCCCGTGTGCCGGCCGGCCTGCTGACCTATCAGTGGAACGTGCCGGGACGGGGTCGAGGCGTGCTGCAGCTACCAGGCCACGGTCAGGGACTGGGACCAAACACTGTGCCGGCCGAGCGACCAACGGACGGCCGTGGAAACACTCCACAGCGTGCGAGAGTGGGTATGTCAGTTCCTGACGCGCTCGTAATTTATTGAAACATTTTATTACCACCGGACGTTATGGGAACTAATTCAGAATGCATATTTTTTTTTTTTTTGCAAAAATAGATGAATGACTAAGGATTATATGGGACCAAGAGCGGCATACAGGGTGTCTCAAAAGTTCGTATACACATTTCCCATGCCCATAAAGCATATAAAAACCGGCCAAAAACCTAAGGTTTTTGTGTCTGTGTGCACACTAGACAAATATGCATGCTTTGACAACTGATTCGGGAGGTTGGAAATCAAACCCTTCGCTGTATCTCCAAAAAATATTTGCCCATAACGATTTTCGTCGCTCCGCCAGCTGCCGGAGGCTGATAAAAGGTTACAGCGGCGTATTTAGAAAATCGCGAAGGGGGGGCCAAGGGTTTGGAGGGCGCCACCTCACCCAAGGAGGGCGCCATACGGTCGCGAGATAAAAAATCACTCAACGGGGGGGGGGGGGGGGGTTGGGAGGCGTTTTTTACCATGCCACCAGTTTTTTTTTGCGTAACCTCGTATAGGTCGTGCTGCATTGATTTTGCATCGTGTGTATTCTTTATACTCCAGGTCACAAAAGGTCAAGTGGTCTTGAAATGCTGCGCCGAAGGCGCGCGAAATTTTTGAAAACAACCTCTTCCTCCGCTTTTTAGGCACGCCTTTTATACGATCACTGTTCAAAGCTCCTCTCGCTCTTTTACCAAATTTGAAGGTATAAAAAATACCTAAGGTTTGGTCGGGCCGCTGCCACACAAACTGTATAGAAAGCTTGGCTCATGGGTGTCGATGTATACAAGTTTATTGGCGGTGGCATATCTACGCACCAGATCACCGTATCGGATTGATACCGGAGCGCGAGATGCGTAAACATCATCCAAATTACCTCAGACCAGCCTTCATAGCCTTCTCACAGGTGCATACAGTGTACCCACATAACCAGTTTCAATCACCGAAACTTCAGATGCCTGCTGTTGCGGCCGAACCTGTTGACAATACTTAATCGTAATACATATAGATGCCATGATGCACGTAAAGTAGGATCATTCCGTTAAGACCAAAGACGTGTTTTATGCATCGTAGAGCGTAGATAGTTTTGGTAGGTATAGGTACTTCATTCATTGTGCTGAATGCACGTTCATTTGTGGCAGTTTTCACAGGCAAGACATCAACTATGTGCAATAGAACGACTAAGTTGAAGAACATGCCAAAGGAGTAAATAAATGATAGGAGGGCAGCGATCAACGGATGTTGCCAATAGGTAGAAGGGCTGCGATCCACAGGAGGGCGCTAATAGGTAGAAGAGCCCCGATCAACATCCCGAGTTTCGACAGTAGGGCACCGATAGGTAGGAAGTTGGCGAGCAGCAGGAGGGCGCCAATGGATAGAAGGGCAGCGATCAACAGGAGGGCACCAATAGGTAGGAGGGCCCCGATCAACAATCAACAGGAGGGCGCCACCAGGTAAGAGGGTGGCGAGGAACAGGAGAGCACCAATAGGAGGGTGGCGATCAACAAGAGGTCGCCAATAGGTGGGAGGGCGGTCATCAACTGCAAGTCGCCAATGAGCGGAAGGGTGACGATTAAAAGGGGGTGGCAATGGTGAGGAGGGCGCCTTTGCTCAAGAGGATGACACGAACAGGACGGCGTCTGTGCGGAGGGCGCTGGTCAACAGGAAGGTGCCAGTAGATAGGAGGGCGGTGATCAACAGGAGGGTGCCAGTGGTTAGGAGGGCGGCGATCAACACGAGGGCGCCAATAGGAGAAGGGCCCCGATTAGCATTCAACAGGAAGGACTAGGGAACCAATAGGTAGGAGGGCGGCACTGAACAAGAGGGTGCCAAAAGGGAGAAAGGCGGCCTTCAAAATTTCACATGAGGGCGCAATAGGTAGAAGAGCGCCAATAATTATGAGGACGCCGATCAGCAGAAGGGCGGCAATGTGTAGCAGGGTGGCGACCTACAGGAGGGCGCCTTCGGGTGAGAGGGCGCTTATTTACAGGACAGCGGCTTACATAGGCGACCACCGTTACGCTTAGAGAGCTACAGCCTACAAATGTGGTTGGAGGGCGCCCGAGGGAGCCCTCCAACCGTATTTGGAGGGCGTATTTGGAATGGGCGTCCTCCGAGGGCGCCCTCCATCCGTATTTTCCCTGTAAACACATTCGCGATTGGAGGGCGCCCTCCAGTCGCGATTGTTTTTCGATTCGATTATATCACAATTGCATTTGCGATTGGAGGGCGCCAAGGCGCCCTCCAATCGCA